GATTGTCTTATACAGGTGGCCGTTTGTACACATGATTGTCTTATACAGGTGGCCGTTTGTACACATGATTGTCTTATACAGGTGGCCGTTTGTACACATGATTGTCTTATACAAGCGGCGGTTAGAGCACTTTGGGTTGTACTTGAAATGTTGGAGTCTTTTTTTTTTTCCATGTTAAAACAGTTGATGTCCTGTTGTCCTAATGAATTGCTTCTACTCGCATGCATTGACTACCCACAGTGTGTTGGATAAAGAGGTTGTGATGACTATGCTGTGGCTTTGACCAGTTTGGAGAATCTCCGGTCAAAGTCCACTGGTGTGGGATGTGAAGCATTGCCCGACGTGTGAGGCTCCGATCGGAATATCCCCGGAAAGCAAGCGCGTTCGATGGGGCAATGATCATCTGTTTTTTCCTTTTTTGTCTTTGTACCACCTGATTTTTGGGCCAATCTACCTGAAACTGACCCTGAAATTACCTGAAATGGGAACTTTGAGCTTGGCAGCCCTCCGATCCACGCAATGTGATTTATCAGGCAGGGCATACAGTCCAATGTTCTCGCGGTCTTACATTTTGTTCCGTTAATCTCCTCTTAGACAATAACAACTGTTCCTTTTTCCAAAGGCAAGGCTCTACTGGGAGAGAGAGCAGTTTGTAGATATTTGAATTGGTCGCTTTTAAGGACGAGCGGGCTTACCCAGATTTCGGGGGTTTGCAGAAATCTTGACCTACACTAAAAGTGGGCATTACCCTACCTGTAGGAGAAGTTTGGTTTCATTAGTGTGTATATTTGTTTGATTATAGAGAAAACTCTCCTTTTTTTTTTTCTTCAAAGAAACTGAACAAGGGGCAAAAACTTTGCCTATGATTTTCTCGAAACAGCATTTTTCAGGATAGTCCCCCTGTGCTTAAAAGCGACCAAGTGTCTTGTGATTGTGAAGATTATTTGACACAGATGTCTTATTGTGAGGGCATGGAGTTGTGTCTTGTGATTGTGGTGCTTGTGTCTTGTGATTGTGAAGATTTTGTTAAACTGATGTCTTATTGTGTGGGCATGTAGTTGTGTCTTGTGATTGTGAAGATTTTGTTAAACTGATGTCTTATTGTGTGGGCATGTAGTTGTGTCTTGTGATTGTGAAGATTTTGTTAAACTGATGTCTTATTGTGTGGGCATGTAGTTGTGTCTTGTGATTGTGAAGATTTTGTTAAACTGATGTCTTTTTGTGTGGGCATGTAGTTGTGTCTTGTGATTGTGAAGATTTTGTTAAACTGATGTCTTATTGTGTGGGCATGTAGTTGTGTCTTGTGATTGTGAAGATTTTGTTAAACTGATGTCTTATTGTGTGGGCATGTAGTTGTGTCTTGTGATTGTGAAGATTTTGTTAAACTGATGTTTTATTGTGTGGGCATGTAGTTGTGTCTTGTGATTGTGAAGATTTTGTTAAACTGATGTCTTATTGTGTGGGCATGTAGTTGTGTCTTGTGATTGTGAGTATAGTATAGTATTATTATCGACATTAATGTCTTACCTTGTGTGTACCCGTCCGTATTTGTCTTCAATGTATCATGTATCTCTTTAGTGTTCATAGTACCGGTAGAGTGCGGATGACAAAAGACCCAGAGGTGTCTCCGTGTGGCCTCAGACTCAGTCAGTATGACAGTGACAGTGAGGGTTTGGTTCTTGGTGCTACTATGACAACTACAACAATCTGGTTTCGGTGCTTGTGGACAAACCCCGTCTCTCAGCTCTTCACATCGATATGGACACCTTTTTTTGGTTTGTTTTTATAATTTTTATTAAAATTGATTTATTAAATTTTTAAATAATTTTTAAATTATTTTTTTCAAATTTATTTTTTAAAAACATGCATATATATATATATATATATATACTGTACTGTATATTTTGCTTCCTCCTCTCAGTCAGTACTATCCTCGTATGCGTACCAGACTCGTCTGTCTACAATGAACTATGACTTGACTTTATTTAGTTTTGTCAATCTCAAA